TGGATGTGACTAAGACAACACTGATCCTGGAGGCAGTGAGTCTGAGTAGGAAGTAATGGTCCAAGTCCTGGGGTAGATTCTCCAGAAGGTGTGACTGGGGAAGAAGTAATTCCTGTCAGCCATGACTTACCATGACTTACCATGACTCAGGGACCATGCAACTTAGCAAATATGTTAAAGGCTCATTCTTTTCTTTTTTTCAGTAATTTTTTCCCAGAAAAACATATACAAAATATTAAAAAAACCCACTTCAAACAAAAAAATTCAAAAAGTATGTAAAAAGTTTGAGCTACAAACATGAATCAAACTTAAATGTGACATGATTTTGAGCTAGTGAGAGAAGTGACAAGGATCTATGAGACTTACACATGATGGACCTTCGCTTTCAGAGCAAAATTGTGTTGATGGAGAATTACATGTAATCCCAGTTCACTGCTTTTCTGTGTGATTTTATTTACAGTGCTCTTATCATTTAGATACTATTTAGTGGTTTTCAATTCTTAGAATCTCTCAAAATATAGAAGAGTTAATTATAGATATATAAAGATGACCAAAATACACAGTGAATGTTTAAATTAAAATTATTACAGTAAATGACACATTACCATCAATTCCTCTAAGAGTAGTCCCCCTTGATAAGAACACACTTATGCCATCGTTCCTGATACTCTCTAAAGCAGTTCTCGAAGTCCTCACTTGTGACTGTGTTTGAGACATGATAAAAATATGGTGCATGGTGCTGCTGAATACCACCCAGTGGAAAGGCATGCTTGTAAAACCTTTATGGTGTGTTTTTATCCGCCTTATTCGCTGGATCTGGCTTCCTGCCACTTTCAGCTCTTCCTCAAAGTAAAAAAGAGTACTTGTTTAGAATGGATTCAGGACATCAAGGCAGTCGTGACAGCACAACTAAACACGCTCGGCAGAGGACACTTCCACAACTACTTCAGAAAGTGTTGCGAGTGAATGATGGGGTAAGTGTGTCCACTGTGAAGGGAGGAGGGCTATTTTGAGGGACATGGAGGGCCAATGTATCTTTTACTACATTCACAAAAATTGAAACACTCGCCATATTTGTTCATCATACTGTGTAGAACAGACTATTAATATTATATTATCAGTTGTAATTATATAAAAATAAATTTACAGGGGCTGGGGATTTAGCTCAGTGGCTCTGCCACGTGCCTTGCAAGTGCAAGGTCCTGAGTTCAATCCCTGGTACCAAAAAAAAAAAAATTTTTACAATTGAGAGACACTGTCTAGTAAAGAAAAGGCCGGGGGGCTACCATCCTCAACGTATAGAGCGGGAAGAGCAGCTGTAACATCAAAGTGTGATACAATAAGAAACAAAAGTTTAACTGCATTATTTAAAATTACAAAAATTACAAATATAATAATGGAACACGAAAAAGGATCACACTGTAAGAGCATGAGATGTTATCTGCTACAGAAGTGGACATCCAGAAATGTAAGACTAATACAGTAGAGTCACAAGAACAAATTAAAAATGATTAGAAATGGCTTCTTTGGGTGTGAAGAGATGTGAGAAGTGGGTTGGGAAAATATAGTTCTGATTAATGCCTTCTTTTCTATTTGAATTTTTACTATGGTACTCCATTTGTTTAGATAAAAGTTAACTATTCTGCTTATAATCGTGCAGTTTTGCAATAGTATTTCTCATTATGGCTAAAAAATGCTCTCTCCCTCACTAATACCAAAAACTTTCCATGAGCCAATGGATGCGAATGATTTTGGCATCTCACCTCCAAATAGAGGGCCAAATTGAATGTTTTATTTCAGAATATGTTGAACTTTATTGCATTGCGATAAGGATAGCAACTAGACTGAGACAGGACTTCCTCTTAGAGTTGCTTAGGTATTTGTTTGAATAACAGCTGCAATTGAGATTACATGGCACATCAGTTTTATGTAGATGAATATTTACAAATATTTCTATTAGTTGTTTTGCACTTTACTTCCTAATCTTTTCTAAATCAATGTTTATTAAATATTCCATTTATAAAAGGAAAGCAAATTTTAGTAGCTTAGTTTGCAGTGCTCATAGATCATTAATGATGAAGCTTCGCCTTATGAAATCTCACTTCGTCATAACAAAATGAATTCATATGAATAAGTAAATAGGCTTCACACAAAACAGTGCATGCCCTGGCAACTGAGCAGCTTTCCCCACAGGCTTGTGTAAAACATTACTGTTTCCCAAGTGAAGTTTCAGAATAGTTTCTAAAATTTGCCATTGTTGAGTTTTCCAGAAAAATGGAAGGAGATTGTAGAATGAGAAATGTTGGAAACCCATTGGCCAAATCACACTGACTTATGCTTTTGTGGTTAGAAGCATGTGGCCCAATTCACAGCCTGCAGTAGCTGTGCTTTCCCTTCTGGCCGTCCCTCTCTCTCTTTTCTTTCTTTGTAGACCAAGATGCTCATTTAAACTGAACCATGTAGGAATCTGTGGCAGAAATCTATGTGGCATTCCATGTAGTTTTGTTCACGTGGTCCTACAGGTCTGTACACAGACATCTCACGATTGTATTGGAATTAAGTTGTGCTTTGACCCATTTCCCACTAGCATATAAAATTCACAAGTCTGAGTACTTGGTCCATTTTTTCCCCATATTGTTCCTAGTAGAGTAGACACTAGAGTAGTAAATAATCTGTGAAAAAGCGGTATCAGTACTCATAATAACTAGCACTTATGTGGCTCTTATTGTGGTTAAGAGCCTTTCTATGTTCTAGAAACACATTTAACCCTGAAAATAACCATTTTGGAAAAATATTCCTCAAATTATTCCCATTTGAGAGTGTGAGTAAACTAAGTCTCAAAGAGGCTAAATGATTGACCTGGGGTCACAGAGCTGGCTGTGGGTAAAGGCAGAGTTCATACCTGAGCAAATTAGAGAAAGAACCATGCTCTCGCCCTGGACCTCCTATTAATGTTCCCTGCAGGTTGCTGTACCTTGAGTGGGCTTGTATCTTTTCCTTGCATTGTTGAAGGCATACTGAACAGTACCCCATTCATAGAGGCTTCTACCATTAACGCCTCCTATATGGATAAACAAGTGTTACATCCAGCAGTGATAATTTTGGGTGAAGTGACCTCAGCCTTCAATTTAAAGTATTCCCTCTTGAACAAAGAGGTGCACACCATCATATGTGGAGAAGTAGGGCAAACAGTAGTGACTGTGTCAGCAAAGCAACTTTCTCCTTCCAAAGCATTTGACATATACTTTATCTTTTTCCAACATACTACAAAATGGCAAAACCATTTTGGTTTTACCAAGATATCAGAGCTGAAAAGCCCCAATAACATTACCCATACTACCTCTACGACAGGGTCCCAAGGGTTTGTGTCAGCTCCACTGACTTTGCATGGTGGAATCATCCCCTAGGGACATAGAGTGGCAGGAAAAAGATGACAATCATCTGATTTTTCAGTTGAAAAATTTTAGTGGAGAAACTTTTAGATACCAAGTATATGGTGTTCTTTAGCCGTAGACTTTGCTTACTAACACAGAGCTGTGTGCGAACATGAAACTTAAGTTACCCAAAAGCTGATTTTTATTTATGATTATCATCCTCTAAATAGGTCATTGCAAACCAACGCAAAACTTTGGAAACAAGCAGTTGAATACAAATAACTAGCTGGCTACTTACTAAAGAAGTGGCTGGATTAACCGTTTCCTTCCTGTTTGGGTCATTCTTACTTCCTAGAGTGGAATTCCATCTCTGAGCAGTTTGGGACAGAAAACCTTGATGGGTAGGAGGTTCCAGCCCAACAAGGGGGCCTTAGGCCCTCAGGTGGCAGAGTCTCTGAAATGGGTCTCACCACCTGTGTACTCCTCTGTGCCCGGTGTCTCCCTGTGTCCCCTGGCATTCTTCTCTGGCCCCTCTGTCAATTTTGTGACCCCTCGTGTCACAAAACATGTACCTTATCTCCTCTAGCACACCTTGTGGCCTTGTTTTGTCCCCTCCCTATTCATCTGTGTGTTCTCCTGTGCCTTCTGTGTCTGTGCCCCCTTCTTTCTCTTCTTTATTTTCCCTTATCTCCCCGTCCCTCTGTTTCTCTGTCTCCTTGTGTCCCTATGCCTCTCTCCATGTCCTGTGTCCCCTGCCCCACGGCTCTCAGTGTCTATTCATTACATCTTCTTGTGTTCTCTCTTTGTCCCTGTCTGCCCTCTGTGTTCCCATGTGTCCTTCCTGTGCCCCCGTGTCCCTCTTTGTCCCTTCTATGTTCTGTTTCATGCCCTCCACGGTCCCCTGCATCCTCTACCCTCTAGTGTGCCCCCTGCACCTCCCTTTGTTCCCATTGGCCTCTCTTTGCTTCCCTTTATGTCCTCTGATATCCCCTAGTGTCTCCTCTCTTTCTTTCCTCCTAGTCTCTCATTGGTGGCAGTAAATGTAGGGTCTACTTTGAGACAGCTTAATGGATGGATGCCACCTCACTGTGGAAACCAGAGACTGACAAGCAACCTCCTCTGGCAAGGTCATCTCCATACCAGCCTTTCTACATCCAAGGGGGCTCATCTCCCTGCCCTGGGGTTAAAGAACAGAGGTGACACACTTGCTCTGTAAAACTCTTGGCCTTGTTAGGTGTGACAGGGAGGCATCTCCTAATCTACCAGCCTCAGGTGACTTATTTGGTGGCATAGTCTGGCCTCAGGTACCAGCTTTGATAAATTCTAGCATTGTTCTTGAAAATGAGGTGGTGGGAATATCTAACGGGAAGATCAGCCAGTCCTTTTCAGCTTCTCAGTGGAAAGTAGAGAAGAATTGTGTAGAGGTGGGTTTTTGCAGGCCAGTTATGCCTTGTCAGTGTGGTTGTTCCTGGTAATGACACTGGCCATCGACCTACGCTCTCTGTTGTCTTCCTTTGTCACATCTTTGTCTGGCAGTAAAATCCTTTTGGCTCTCAAGGTCAGTAAACACTAACATGCCTTTCTTTGGAGCTGAGAGTTCCCAGAGGAAAGGGAAGAGATGGTTACCTTTGGTCATGACGATTCCTGCCAGTGCTTTGTGGCGGGCATGCATGGATGTCAAGCCAATTGTCAGCTCACGGAACTTCTGTGTGACCAGCTGGGACACCGAGTCGGCAAATTCCTGAAAGACACAAGCACCAAGGCTCTTTGATGGGTTGAGCAGAAGCAGTGAGTGGACAGTTGGCTCTCACGTCCTCCTCTCCTTTTCAGCCGTGTCCTCATGTGGACATCCGGAGGTACCCATCACAGGGCACCCATTCCACCACGTGTGTTCCCATGTACATCTGCCCTGTGTCTCACTCTACCTCCTGGTCTTAGGAAGGAGCTGTAGTGAGGAGTTGACTCCCAGCATTGCCTGTGGCAGAAATCCAGGCCTGTGCCTGAGCGGGTGACTTTGGCATGGAAGTGTGTCCTGTTCCTCCCTGTCCTTGCCCCTCAGAGCAATAGGCTTGGAGGAGTCCTGAGGGTAGAACTTGATTAGAAGAACCCTGAGAAGAGAGGGAGGGGATTTGGACACCTGGGGTGATTAGCCATCACTTTCTCCTCAGTATCAGTAGCTGGAACAGCTCTGGGTACTATCCTGGCTGAGCTGCTCACTGCAGTTCATGCCACAACCTCTCTTCTCACCTGCAAAGGTATGCATAAGAACATGTATACACATAGGGGCACATACAGGTACATATGCAGTGAAGTACATACAGGATGTGCATACACTTAACTCACACGTGCATACACAAGTGTGTCCCTGCACACACAAACACATGTGCACAGTACAGAAAGCATATACACATGCATAACATACAAGCAGGTGCATGCACACATAAACACACATGCACTTGAAACAGCATGGGCACACAGATACACATATACATAGACATGCATCCAGATGCAAGCACTCACGTATACACCATGCACATACACACACAGAGAGGCACATCATGGCATCATAATCACCTACGGAGCTGTTCCACATCTCTGTTAATGCAGCAAATATACAATAACAGAGCTGGTGCAGCCCCACAGGCACAGCTCTGTGATCACACTTTCCCCAGCTCCTCCAGGTCCTGTGGCTGAAACGCTGCCTTTTTCTAATTGGGCAGGCCCTTGGCTTTTCACCAGGGGGCAGCTTAGGTGGTATGACTGTCACAGATATTGGAGCAGGAAAACCTGGTTGGAATCCTATTTTTCAACCTTTGAGCTGGTCAATCATTTCAAACCTCTGAGTCCCACTTTCCTAATTTACAAGGTAATCCTCTTAATTTCCATCTGACAGTGTTTTTGTGATGATTAAATGAATTAACACTTCTTAAATACTTAGCAGAGTGTATCACATTTGTTAAGTGCTCAAAAATGATGACTATAACCATCATCATCATCATCATCATCATCATCATCACCATCATCACCATCATCACCACCATCATCGTTTTTCCAGGTCCTTGTAGGGAGTGACCAAATCTTTATGAAGCCTAATCAATCCATCCGGGTACCCAGAAAGTGAGCAAACAGTTCATTTATTCTGATGGACTCGATTTTCATCATTTTGATTCTATTCAGGCATTAATATAGACAGGGGCAGATTTCTGATATATAAAGATAACTAAGACAGACAGTCTTTAAAATTCTATTTGTCTATGTGAAAGCAAGTTTGTCTCCAGGAAGCAAAATCCCACTGCAAAAATAACCTGATGTCTTTTCCTTGCCAGTTTTTCAGTGATAAAGGGTGAGCAACAGTGAGGGCCCTCATGGCCTCTTCTGAGTACAACTTCTGGGATTTGGCAACTCCCAAAAGGGTAAATGGCCTACAAGTTGGGCTTCCTTCACATACTTGCAATCATGATGGAGATGTGAGAGGTTGGGTCCCAACTCTTCAAGGGCTGCTGTGTATTTTGGGGGTCTCCCGGGCTCTTCTTCATACCCAGGCTGCTCAGTGTGATGCTGTCACCCCCAGCCAGTTGCTATAGAGTCATGGAATTGTACAGTTGAATCCTGGAGGTTGGTTTAGATTGTCTTGGAATTTTTATGTCTTAGAAAATGAGGTCCATAGAGGACAGCCTGTGTCCCCAGAAACATTGTGTGCTGTGTCCAGAGGATGCCTGGAAAATAACTACAAGTAGGGGCTTAAAACACAAGATGCGCATTCTTTCACAACCTTGGCACCTGAAGCTCACTGTCCTCGGCTGTGCTCCCTCATGAGGTTCCAGACAAGATATTTCCTTCCTCTTCCACTTTCTAGTGGCTTCAGTATTCCTAGACTTTTGGTCAAGCTCCAATCTGTCTCTGTCTTTATGTGGTCTCCTCCCCAGGTCTGTATTTCCGCCTTCTATCTCTTATAAAGACACTTGTCATTGGACGTAAGACTCATCCAGAAAATCCAATCTGAGCTCATTTCAAATTCTGTAACTTGGTTACATCTGCCAAGACCCTTTCCCCAAAATACACAGCTTCAGGATTGGGCATGTCTTTGAGGGGGGGCTGCTGATCAGCCTGTTACTTGCTCCTCCATTTTATGCTGTGCAAAAGAAATTGTCTGGTTTTCAGAGGCTTGAATTTGACTAATTTCTATTTGTTTTGAGAAGCCCAATTCTTAATTTGAGTGAGAAGAGGGAGAAGTTAATCCAATTTTCCTGAGTGACCAAATCCATGGTCATGAGTGAGGGTCATATGAGATGGGTAGATATCAGATGCAGGCAGGAGCCTCCCTCTGTGACAGTCCTTCATCCTCACAAAGAAGGGTGTACCTCCCACACATCCAGACAAGGACTGACAGCACTTCACTGCCCTCCTTCCAAGCAGGATGCTACAGATGTGAGGTCATTGGCTACTGAGCTCCACGCTGGGGCTAGAAGGGCCCCAGAGGCAGGCTGTAGAGTTCCTCTCTCCTGGAGCACAGAGGACATGAAGGCCATAGAATGAGAACCTCAAGAGGTCTCAGCAATCACCTTGAGTTTTGAAAAAGTCACCAGCCTTTCAGCACCATGTCCAATGAGCTGCAAAGGGATGACAGCAGCAGCCCTCATTGCAGGTGGCAGCATGGCAGGTGAGAGGCCACCAGCTCCATCTTGGGCATCTTCTGAGGTGGGGTATTCTTGGGGCCCAGGTTGATGGGACAGCCCAGGCTTTGGACCAGAGACAGATGGAGTCTTGTGCTCTGCAAAGCCTTGGGTTTGAGTTTTGGGCAGACCTGGGAAGTTGAGATTATACACACTGGGCTCTGGGCGTCGAGCACCTGTCCCCACTGTCCCCCACAGGTGGGGATTGGCTTTGAGGGATGAGGGTCTCCATCTAGTCAGAGGGCAGTTCTGAAGCTGACACTCGAGCTGAGCTTGAAGGAAGAGTGGATTTGTTACATCCCTGCAAACTTCCACTGTTCAGTGAAAGAATAAAATCCAGCTCCACAGCATGTGAGCAGATGAGGAGAAAAGTCCATGGTCTGTTTTACTGGCAGAAGCATCCAAGCTTACATAAGAGAGGAATGACTTCCTCCAGCTGGATGTTGCAATGGCATTCTATGGGCAGAGAGTGCTCTGAATGCTTTATCACTGTGTTGTGACCCTTTAGAGTCAGCTCCTAATTTTTATGTATGTTAATCTCCATTTTGGGGGACTTTGGCAGAAACATATCTTTTTCTTCTAACATACTGTTCTCAGCATGGAGCATTGTATTCCCACGCATCCTGTGTTCCACAGAGCCATTCCAAATGGTGCTTTCAACAGGTCTCCCTTCTTTTAAAAATGAAGTGTTCTAGTGTCCAAGGGTGATAAGAATGACCACATAGGAGCTATCTTTTAATTTCTTTGTGTTTGTCTGATAGGCCTCCCTGGGCCCCTCAAGATGTCCTCAAGTCACTGAGTAAGTCCATAGAGTATGCAAAAACTGACTTCACTTTGGAAATCTAAGGCCTACTCCATCAGAGACGGGGAAATACCCAAGCAGGACAGCAGAGACTTGCCACGGGCCTGGAACAGTGCTGTGGGCTGTGTACCCAGTGTCTCCCTTACTCCAAAAGAGGAAGGAACATTATCCTTAGCAACTGTTGAAGAATCTCAACCAAAGTTACATGGTCAGGATGTGGCAGACACAAGACTTAAAGCTCACAGATTTGACTCCTCTTCACCCTGACCTGGGGAGCAGATTTCTCTGAGGAGGTGTCTCTCCTTAAGATTGTCACAGGCCAGGAAGGACCCAAGGACCCCAGAGGGGGTTTTTCTCAGCTGCCTGCCTACCTGCCTGTCTGCGATCACCCGGCGGCGTGCGCGTGAGCTCCCGGCCTGCGCGACAACAGACCCAGGAAGGACCCAAGGACCCCAGAGGGGGTTTTTCTCAGCTGCCTGCCTACCTGCCTGTCTGCGATCACCCGGCGGCGTGCGCGTGAGCTCCCGGCCTGCGCGACAACAGACCCAGGAAGGACCCAAGGACCCCAGAGGGGGTTTTTCTCAGCTGCCTGCCTACCTGCCTGTCTGCGATCACCCGGCGG